GTCTCGGACAGTCAGCGCACACGATGGCTGTGACCTGGGGGAGACCGGTGTCTCTCAAGCCAGAGGCAGTACCAAGCCTGCCTTCCAGCACTTCACGCAGAGCGGGCTGACCGCAAACATTTGCCGAAGGACGGAACAAATGACACACAGCAGCTGCCTTGCTGGTCTCGGTCTCTCTATCCGGCTGTACAGTCCGGACTGGGCCCCAGAGCAAGGTTTCCAAAGCACGGCTCTGAGGAAGCCAGTTGCAAAATCCTGCACACGGTAAGTACTCAGTATTTCAGAAAGGGCCCAGTTAAAGAAAGTACGGTTTCGCCCTGGCTGGGGTAGCCTAGTGGGTCGGGCATCGTCTGCACAGCGAAAGGTCACTGGTTCAATTCCCAGTCGGGGCACAGGCTTGTGTGGGGGCCTAGTCCCGTTTAAGGCGTGTGCAAGAGGAAACCAATCCATGTTTCTCTCACACATCAATGTTTCCCTGCCTCCTTCCCTCCCTCCCTTCCATCCTCCCTCCCTTCCATCCTTCCTCCCCTTCTAAGAATAAATAAGTAAATAAAGTCTTTTTTAAGAAAAAAAAAAAAAAGAAATTATGTTTCAGCCATTTTCCGGAATACTACAGAGTTGTTTTTAAAAAGATGTGGGGTAGGGTGGGGAAGGGAGACTTTTGGGCATCTGTCCCGAAGTCACCCTGGCACAATTATGAAATTAGAACATCACCACAAAACTGCTCCTAATAGCAAAAAACTATTAGCAACCCAATAGGTCTCAAATAAGGAGACTGGCTGAAAAACTATGATATAGCTATACAATAAAATACTGTGCAACTATAAAAAGGAATGAGGAAAATCTCTATACACTAATAAACAGAGGGCTCCAGCATATATTAAGTGAAAATATGCAAAGTGGAAGACAATATTTACTGAGGGAATTATACATAATTTTTTTAAAGATTTTATTTATTTATTTTTAGAGAGGGGAATGGAATGAGAGGGAGAGAAACATCAATGTGTGGTCGCCTCTGGCGCACCCCCCACTGGGGACCTGGCCTGCAACCCAGGCATGTGCCCTAGACGGAGAATCAAACTGGCGACCCTTTGATCCACAGGCTGGCACTCAATCCACTAAGCCACACCAGCCAGGGCTAATTGTTTAAAAAAAGAAGAAGAAAAAATGAAAGGATAAACCAAAAAGTGGGAGAGAAAGGAAACAATAAAAAACACTGGTGGATCTCTGTGTAACATAATCATAAAAAGATGCCCACGACAGCTTTTTTTATCACAGAATATGTGCAATTGAATCCATTTTTGTCAAGTTTGTGTATGTAAGCACAGAATGACCTGAATCAGTTTCCTCTTCAGTGAAACAGGGGTGGTAACTGTGTTTATCTCTCAGGACTAGATGAGTTAGTTTACCTAGTAAACATGAGATAATACCACTGCTACTTTTATGTACATGGGAAAAGACCTGAAGGGTGCCCTGGCCGGCGTGGCTCAGTTGGTTGGAGTGCTGGCCCATAACTGAAAGGCTGCAGGTTCGATTCCCAGTCAGGGCACATACGTAGGTTGTGGGTTGCATCCCCTAGTCCATGTGCGTAGGACCCCTGGTCAGGTGTGTATGTGAGGCAATCAATCAATGCTTCTCTCTCACATTGATGTTTCTCTCTCTTCCTCTCTCTAAAGCCGATGAAAAATGTCCTCCAGTGAGGATTTAAAAAAAAAAAAAAAAAAAAAGGATCTAAAGGGTACTGAGGGTGAAAAAGATGTATCTTTTAAAAGGAACATATACTGTACATGGTAGTAATTCAACAGGTATCTGCTGAATGAATGACTAGCCAACAGCCTCCTTCCTGGTCTCCCTTCAACCTCACATCTTGCCTGGAGTCAAAATCAAGATCTTCACCAAGGCCTCCTAGACCGTACATGACCCAGCCCTTCTACCCGTTCCTTCATTTCCCTCACCACTCTCTGCTCCAGCTGCTCCGGCCTCCTTGTCCCCTGAATATGCCAAGCATGCCCCTTCCTCAAAACCTCTGTGGTTCTCTTCCTTCTGCCGGGCTATTCCTCCCCTACAGATACCGGCACAACCCCCTCCCTCCTCAACCCCTTCAGCTTTTAACTGAAACATCTTGGCAGCGAGGTCTTCCCTGACCACCCTGTTTCCAATGACAATTTCCTCTCCCGCACCATCTGTGTTGCTCTGTTTTTCTCCATGGCATTTATCATCAATAAACCATCTTTTTGTAAGCTCCCTGAGGGCGGGGGTGGGGTGTGTGTGTGTGTGTGTGTGTGTGTGTGTTCACTTATTATTTCCTTCTATGAAATGGTGTTTGGCTCCTCGTAAGTGTTCAATAACTATCTGCTGAGTGAATGCCAAAGGGCTTCTCAATCACTGGGCTCATATCCCTACCTTTTGGCTTTAAAATGTTTGAAAAATAACTGCTATTATTAATTGAACATTTAACATGTGCTGGTCACAATTCTAATACACATATTAACTTATTTAAACCTCACAACACCAACTTTTCGAGGTAGGTACTATTTTTAATCTCCATTTTACAGCTGGGGACACTTCAAGGCCAGGCAGGTGAACTCCCTTGACTGAAGTTTGCAAGATACAGGCCTAGCCATACCCTTGCAGAATCTACCCCTCATCGCCGGGCGTACTGCGTCTCTGAAAGGGACTGCTTCTCAGCCGCAGGTCTGTCCACACAAGCCAAAGGGCATGGGCTCCCAACTACCAGCACACTGCTGTCCCCCGGTAGAACATAACGAGCCTTCTCAGGGTGAACCTCTCCACTATCTTCATGATGATAATACAGCCAGACCCACCAAGGCATTAACCTGTCTCCTTCCTCTTCCACTTTTTGATTTAAACTTTTATCTTTCAAATGCATATGCATATTTCCCTTTTCTTTTACAAAAAGGGGAGTATATAATAAACGCCCTATTCCTTTTCTTTTTGATTTTACTTAATTTATTTTTAGAAAGAGGGAAAGGGGGTGGGGGAGAGACACTGATGTGGGAGAGAAACAATCAGTTGCCCTGTACCCTGACGGGAATCGAACCAGAGACTTTTCAGTTCACAGGCAGGCACTCAATCCACTGAGCCACACCAGCCGCGGCCCCCGATCGCTTGTCATTTGCATTTACTTAGTATATGCTGGAGCCCGCTCTCTATGTAAGTATGTATAGAGATTTTCCTCATCCCTTTTTACAGTTGCACAGTATTTTATTATGTGGGTATAATGAGTTTTTTTCCTGCCAGTCTCCCCATTAAAGAGCATTTGGGGTGTTTGTAGTCTTTTGCTGTTCCCAATAGCCATTATCTCCCCTTCCTTCCAGGTGCACTCCTGATGGAGTACCACTGCCCCACTCCCACCTGGGGGTGTGGCGGCTCCCCTCACATGCAGAGTGGCCCCAGGAGTGTCTTTCATTCATTCAACATGAACTGGGCGTCTTCAGTGTGTCCTGCGCTGTGCTGGGAACACAGCAGGGACGACACATACCCAATCCCAGTCCCCACAGAGTTCACGGTGTTTGATTATTCAAAGAGCCAAACAAATAAAGGTCCGAAACCAAATTAGACCACACGTGACACAAAGGAAAGGAACGGGGACCTATGAGAGCGTTTAACTTGCGGATTTCGGGACGGAGGGCAGGAAAGGAGGGCTGCGCAGAGGAAGTGACGTTGGTACTGAGACCCGAAAGATGAATGGGAGTTAGCCAAGCAGAGTGGGTAAAAGGATGTGGCGAGCAGAGGGGGCAGCATGTGCAATATTCATGAGGCCGGAAGGCGCATGGCGAGCGTGAGAAACCGAAAGGCCAGTGCAGCTATTCGAAGTGAGGAATGAGTAGAGGCAGAGCCGAGGCCGGCGGGGTGGACGCGCCTCGGGGGCCTCGTTGGAACTTTGCCCCGAGGGCACTAGGGAACCAAGGGAGGGTCCAGAGCAGGGGAAGAAACTGGAGTCTCAAGCGTCACTGCTTCCTTCTCTTCAAAGCGCCCCTAGCCCTCCACTAGGGTCCCTGACGCCACACGGTCTCTTCTTCCTTGGTCCCCGGGCCCCCACGCCACCCCGCTCACCGCGGCTCCGGCCTCCGTCCCGTCGTGCACCCTCAGCAGCACCTCTTCGCAGACGCCGCTACCGCCATCTTCCGCTCGCCGCCGGGACACAGCGCACGCGTCGCACACGCGGTGTCGCCGGGAAATGGAGTCCAAGCAGCAGGCTGACCCCTCCCCTACCTTTAGCCGCGCGAGTGGCCTTCCGTCCTCCCCCAGACTACTCCTGGAGGCTCTTCGTTTCCGGCCTTCGAGCCGCGTGCCTTCTGGGAAGTGTAGTCCCTGGACGGAGGCACGGGACGGGAGGGGAGACAGAGGGTTCTGGGAAATGGAGTTCACAGTGGTTCCGAACCCCTGGACGGCTGGTGGTAGAGTGGAGAGCCGGGCTGCGAAGCTCCCGGGTCTTGGAGGTGGTGTGGTGCCCTCGCAGGGGATGAGCAGCGGCCCCAATCCCCTCCATCTTTGGTCCTGACCATTCACACAGTTCAGAGCGTTTCCAGCTGTCGGAAGCTTCAATTTTCCAGTCCGTCCAATGGGAATGTGGTTGCGAGGGTCTCTTACCGGTTTTATAAGCGGCCTATCTGGAACCCTGGAGTCTACCGCGGTCTGAGGCCCCTTTCCTCCGCGGCGGTCATGCTGAGCTCTGGCAATTTGCCTTCTACTGTCGAGATGTTGAAAACCTTTGGGGTAGAAGGGCCCCAGAGTCCTGCCTTCAGGACCTTTATAATCGGCAGTGTCTCCTATCTATATCTCCCTCACTCTTCAGCCTTGTCCAGCTCTCTTGTCCCCGGGCTGCGGCTCCCGGCGCCTGAGGTCTATCTCCTTGCAATCCCGCAGGGGGCGCCCCAGTCCGAGCGCGGGAGGGGAGGGCGGGGGCGGGGGGGGGGTGTCCCGACTATAAAGGTTGGCCGCCTCCCGGGGCGCCCTGGACGGCGGGGACCCTGGCCAGTCGGACGGGCGGGTGCCGGTCGGAACTCGGGCCGTGTGGGCTGGGAGATCCGAAGCGCTTGGTTCCCCCCCGGGCCGGAGCGGGGGCAGGTGGGGGCGCAGGCCCGGGGGATGCTGGGCTCGGTGAAGATGGAGGCTCATGACCTGGCGGAGTGGAGCTACTACCCGGAGGCGGGCGAGGTGTGTCCGCGGGGATGGCGGAGCGGGAAGTGGGGGACAGGAATCAAGGTGCGGGCTTAAATGGGCTCAAGGACCGGGGTGTGGGCTCAAATGGGGACCCCAACTAGAGCTGAGGAGCAGAGGAACTAGAGACACCGAGACCAGGTGTAGGAGTGAGGGAGCGCCGTTTCCCTCGGGCTAGTCGGAGTGAGGGATAAATGAGAGTCTGGAAAACTTAGGCAAGGGCCAGGGTACGGCTTAAACGTGAGGCTTCGACGTTGGCGGCTCCAAATGCAAGGGAGGAAAATTAACAAACTAAATCTAGGACTCAGACCTCCAGGATAGCAGGATAGGGGAAGAGCTGGGGGATTAGGAAGTGAGTCAAAATCGGGGGAAAAGACAGGAACTAAGAGATGGAAGAGGGAGGTCACCATTAAGAGAAGTCAGAAGTGGGAGCTCAGGTTAGAATCTAGTGTTCGAGATGGGAGTTCTGGGGTAGAAATCGGAACTGGAGTTCAGGGATGGAGTGGGGTCTAAGATAAGGTCAGAAATGAGGGTTAGTGCTCAGGGATAAGAGAGAGAGTTTGGTTTTTTGAGTATGAAATAACAGGTGGGTTAGAGTTGGGATTCAGATGGGGGGGGCCCGATGGGGTAAGAGGTGGGAGCGGAAGTGTAGGAGAGGGTCATTTTCCATTCCCCACCCCCCATCTCTACTCCTGACCCTTACCCCTGCCAACTGAACTTCACTGGTTTAATTGTTATTAAAGACCCTCAGCAGGGATTCTTCTTGTTGGAGGCTGGAGGGTTTCAGGTTTCGCACCTCTTCCAGTAATCTCCAGTAATTGCTAATGTCCTCACCAGCCCCATTTCTTACTAGACCACCCTGGATTAGGGGGGCGGGGTAGATCTTTAATTCCCTCACCCCAGCAGCCAGAAAGTCCGCCCCCAAGTCTAACTCCCATTCCTCTCGTTGCAAGGACTCCTCCTTAGCTCACTCTCTCTGTCGTCAGCATTGTGAAGCGGAGTAGGGAGCGGGGTCCTCATTGAGGGTTATGGGGACCTGGACTCTTAAATTCTGACCTGGAAGGGGATTGTGGGCTTGAGGTGGGGGAGGGAGGCTGGGATGGCTGAGTTCTCCAAGGGGACTGAGATCTGGGGGTCCCAGGGGCCCCCATGTGCCTGAGTTTTGGGTCTGGGGTTTGAAGCTGGGGAGTGAGACTCCTGGATCCCCAGGCCTGCGGGGCTTGGCATGGTGCCTGGGAGGGGCCCGTCCTGGGGCTGTGGAGGTGTGAGGTGCACGTGGGGTGGGGCAGGCTGACTAGGGAGGGGTCTGGGGGTGTTGGGAGGGTGGAGACTGGTGGCTGGAGGTATCAGGAGGCAGAGATGAGGTCGGGAGTGAACGTTCCCAGATAGTGGGGGAATCCAGCTGGACCCCCAGAGCGTTCCGAGTTTGGAAACATGATTCAAGGGAACCAACAGGAAATCAGTGTCTAGGTGGGCACATCTTAAGTAAATTGTGGGGGAAGGGGGTGTCGGATAGAGGAGTCTGAAGTGTAGGGGATATTTTGTGTGGAAATTTTGTCAGAAATGGAGGGGCAGCCCAGGGATGATCAGCTCTTGGGGGCATATTTGGGAAGAGTTGACTTGGCGGGGGCTGGAGAGGGAAATACTGTCTGAGGGCCTCCCCAGCCTTCTCATCAGCTGAGCCACCTCCGCCCCTTGGGTCAGAACAGCAGGGAGAGAAACATTTACACTCACTCAGCAGCTGAGAGCCGAGAGGCCCCCATACTGCTTCTGGCCCTTCACGCCTTCTTGCTAGCTTGATGTTGACACCCCCCAGGCTGGCTCCCTGTCTAGAAGGAAATTGTCCCCGCTGGCCTCCAATTCTCACAGATCAGCCGGTCGGACTACTCCCCCCGCTTTAGAGATGGAAAACCTGAAGCTTCCTGGAGTGTTGGGGGCTGTGCGGGGTCCTGGGTGGAAACTGGGACTAGGAATCAGGCTGCTGGCTTCACACCACCTTCCCCTGCTCCCTGTCACACCCTCCTCCAGAGACAATAAGGAAATGAAAGGGGAGAAATTTCAGCCTCCTGGGGTACAGGTCCTTTGAGGGCTTCCCCCCAATCTCAGCCCCGCCCTGGCAGGGAAATCCGGCTCAGACCCGGACACTGGGGGTTCATCCCAGCCCCGGGGCGTGGGAAAGCCTACGGTGGATTAGGGCAGCTGGAGTACTGGAGGTCGGACCTCAAGGAGGACTTCCGGGGGGGTAGGTAGCTGGGAAAGGAGGGCCCCAGGGTCCTCACCTGTCTTCCTCTGTGATACACTGTGATGCAAGAAAGTCTGACTGAGCTGGCAAAGTGGGAGGGGGTTGGAGAGGGATTTAGGAACTCTCTGTAGCTCCCATGAATCTGTCCGCGTCCCCCCTCATCTCTCCTTCCTGGGAGGGGGCCAGGCTACCCGACCAGGAGGGAGCCCAGTGCGTGGGGGAGGGGAGTGGCTGTGGCTTCTGTTTCAAGGTGAGGCTTCTGGAGAGAGGGGGACACTGAGGGAAGGGGGCAGATGGTCACAAAGGTGCTGAAGGAGAGAGATGGGGTGGCTGAGGAATGGGGGAGAGGGAGACAGAGGGAGAGATGGGGTGGGGGAGAGAGTGACAAGGTTAGGGAGAGTCAGGGGCCAAGAAAGGCAGAGGAGGGGACAGCAGGGAGGAAAGAGGGGAAGAGAGGAAGGACGAGAGTGTGGGGAGCAGAGAGGGAAAGGGAAAGACAGGAGAGAGACACGTGGGCAAGGGGAGGGGGAGAGGGAGAGAGGTGGATGGACAGACACAGAGACAGGGAGAGTCAAAGAGGTCCCGGAGGGACACCTAACAGCGAGAGGAGTTTCTGACTGGAACTCAGACCCAGGTTGGTTGCCCACTGTCCCTGACTCCCAGGCCGGCCCCGGCAGTTCCCTTTTGTCTCTGGACATGATGACCCACTACCTCACAGCAAAGGTGGCTCCCACAGAGCTACAGCAGCACCCCCAAGGCCACATGGCAGGGGCAGGGGGCAGGGAGCAGGGTAGCCCGGCAGTTGAGGGACTGAGGGGAGAGGACGGAAGGAGAAAATACACAGAGCAAGAGAAATCACCATTCACCACACTTCCCACTTTCCGCATCTCGTTCACGTCCCGCTGGACTGCCAGCCTCATGAGGGCAGCCACTTGAGTCGGCTTGGTCGCGGCTCTCACAGTGTGGCCCGGGCCACCGGTCTGGGGCCAGGCTGCCTGGACTCAGATTCCCGGTTCTGCCCCTTCCTTGCTGTGGGACCCCGACAAGCTCTCTGGGACTGGGCTTGCTCGGCTGCAGAATGGGGGTCACAGTGGCGCCCCCCATCTTGCGGTTGTGAGGATGAAGGGGGCCTTTCCATGTGGTGCTGGGAGCAGTGCCTGGCGCCGGAGGTGGCCAGTTAATGCTGAGAGGATAGAAGGCTGCGTGGAGGGTCCCTTAAAGGGATGGAGCAATGTCTGCCGTATTTCACAGGCGCACATTTTTTTCCCCATTTGAACGTTTCTGAAAATGAAATGGGTTTTACAGCCAGTGGTGTCTAGGGATTATCATTTACAGTGGGTTTTTTACCCACTCTTACTGATACTTACTATTGCAGTTTACTAACAATGATGCCTTAGATTTGATGAGATACTGGGTTCGGCACAAATAACGCCTCTTGTTTATTACATAAAAATCTTTTACAAAATCATAAGCACATAATTTTTCAACATAACAATATCACACTCAAGCACACCATATGACATTTTAGGTGACGTGTTCAAACTAAAACTAGAAATTATTACGCCCATATTATTACCCTACCAACCACACTCAAGCCAGCATTACTTCTGCCGGACCCTGTAGATAGTAAATAGATGATGTGAGGTTGAAACACAATTTCTGATAGTTATACATTTTTAAAAGATGTTATTTATTTTATTTTTAGAGAAAGGGGAAGGGAGGGAGGAAGAAGGAGAGAAACATTGATGTGAGAGAGAGACATCGATCCGTTGATCGGTTGCCTCTCGTACATGCCCCCAGCCAGGAACAGGACGCGCAACCCAGGTGTGTGCGCCGACCGGTAATCGAGCTGGCGACCTTTCACTTTGTGGGATGACGCCCAATCAACTGAGCCACACCAGTGAGGGCGATAGTCAAACATTTTTGACCTATTAAAAACTCATTTTATAACCTAAAAGATGGAGAGAGAGTCCACGTATAGATTACGATATTAGATAAATCCGTAGGTCTCGGTTTTTTGGATCTCAGGACCCCTTAACGCTCTTAAAAATTATTGAGGACCCCAAGTCATTTGCGCTGGAGTGGGTTATGGCCATCTTAGTGGTTACCGCATAAGAAATAAAAACGGAGAAAAAATTTTTTAACGTATTAATTAGTTTTAAAATAGCAATAATTTCTTAGTGTAAATGGTGTATTTTTATTAAAGTAACTATATTTCAAAACATGTAGCGAGGGGCACGGCACTGTTACAGCTTTGTGAATCTGCACCGTGCCAGGCTCCACGGCAGGGGCTGGGTTCGCAGAGCTGCTCCTGCCTTCGGTCTGCAGCAGCGTCCCGTGGCCGGTGGCCTCTGGCAAACTCCGCTGTGCACTCAGGAGAGAAAGGGAGTGAAGAAGGCCAGTCATATCTCAGCATCATCTGAGAACGGTTCGACCTCCTGGACACCTAGACCCGAAAAGGTCTCGCAGATGCCCCCGGGTGTCCTGGACTACACTTTGAGAACCGCTTTAAGCACAAGCTTCAGCGTGTTGGAGCATGGGGGGCGCAGCGCACAGGGAGGGGGAGAGACTTCAAGAGACAGCTGTGAACAGAGAAAAGTAAGGATGGAAGGGACTCAGGTAGCGACAAGACAGGCAGAGGGACACGCAGCGGACCCAGCAGCCCTGTGCTGAGCCGCGAGCTGGGCCTCACTGACCCCTCCCCCTCTCTTTCTCTCCACGCAGGTTTACTCTCCAGTGACCCCAGTGCCCACCATGGCCCCCCTCAACTCCTACATGACCCTGAACCCTCTGAGCTCTCCCTACTCCCCTGGGGGGCTCCCTGCCTCCCCGCTGCCCTCAGGACCCCTGGCGCCCCCAGCCCCCACAGCGCCCCTGGGCCCTGCCTTCCCAGGCCTGGGCGCCAGCAGTGGCGGAGGCAGCAGCTCAGGGTATGGGGGCCCGGGCCCGGGGCTGGTGCATGGGAAGGAGATGCCAAAAGGGTACCGGCGGTCCCTGGCACACGCCAAGCCGCCCTATTCCTACATCTCGCTCATCACCATGGCCATCCAGCAGGCGCCAGGCAAGATGCTAACCCTGAGCGAGATCTACCAGTGGATCATGGACCTCTTCCCCTACTACCGCGAGAACCAGCAGCGCTGGCAGAACTCCATCCGCCACTCGCTGTCCTTCAACGACTGCTTCATCAAGGTGGCCCGCTCCCCAGACAAGCCAGGCAAGGGCTCCTACTGGGCCCTGCACCCCAGCTCAGGGAACATGTTTGAGAATGGCTGCTACCTGCGCCGCCAGAAGCGTTTCAAGCTGGAGGAGAAGGTGAAGAAAGGAGGCGGCGGGACCTCCACGCCCAGGAACAGTGCAGGATCTGCCGCCTCGACCGCCACCCCAGCTGCCACCGCCACCGCCACCGTCACCTCGCCTCCGCCCCAGCCTCAGCCCCAGCCTCCACCCCCCGAGCCTGAGGCCCAGGGTGGGGAAGATGTGGGTGCTCTAGACTGTGGCTCACCGCCTTCCTCCACACCCTATTTCACCGGCCTGGAGCTCCCAGGGGAGCTGAAGCTGGATGCTCCCTACAACTTCAACCACCCTTTCTCCATCAACAACCTGATGTCGGAACAGACACCAGCACCCCCCAAACTGGACGTGGGGTTTGGGGGCTACGGGGTGGAGGGTGGGGAGCCTGGGGTCTACTACCAGGGCCTGTATTCCCGCTCTGTGCTTAACGCATCCTAGCAGGGAGGTCGGGAGCGTGGCGGGTGGGGTATGGCTGGCGCTCACACCATCTGGCTGTTGGGGCCTGATTCTCCTGGTGACACTTTGTTTGTCCCTGCCAGTTAACATCTTGGTTGGGCTATTACTGTGGTGACTGCCGCTTCTGTGGGCATCATGGCGGTCCGTTGGGTACTGTGATAACTGCCTTGGACGTCTGGGTGGGCCAACAGCTACTGTGAAGACTGCCATGTTGATTGATATTGGTTGACCCACTGGGTGCCCTGATGGCCGCTGTAGAGGATGACGTCTTGGGTGGCCCTTTGGACACGGATGGACATCCTCTTGGCCGATCCTTTGGTTGCAAGGGTGATGCTGTTTCAGTTGCATCTTCTTTGGAGCACTGGGTGCTATGATCACTTTCTTTGGGTGGATTTCTTGGCCTCGTGGGCGCCAAGTCAGCCACTGTCCCGCGTAACATCTGTTTCGGTCCCCTGGGTGCCGTGGTGGCCGCCATATTGGCTGGCTGACATAATCGCCGACCCATCGTGCACCGCGGCCTCCTGCGCTGGCCGTGCCGTCACTGTCTCTCGGGTGTGAGTTGAGCGAGGGATGGAGATGAGAATGTTCCTTGGTTCCCTCTGGAGCCCATTCCCCGCTCTGGTTCAGGAGAAACCAGAAAGGACTGTTCGGGGTGGGGGTTTCTACTGAAGTCTGGGTCTTGCCTGGGAAGTGGGGTACTGGCTGTGTTTGAACATTAAAGGCACCATTCCCGCCTCACACAGAACGTCTCTTTTCCTTGGTGGATGGGCCCTGTGGAACTTGAACCCCCGAACTGCTGCCTTCCTGTCCCCAAGAGCTGGCGGCCTCTGGGGGAGGGGCTCGGGGAGGCATCGACCTGACCTTTGGCTCTTCGCTGTCCCTGACCCCAAGGACAGTTTGCTCACAGATAGCGGCCCCCGCAGCAAAGGGGCCAGGGCCGCAGGGGGAGGTGGCTGTGCAGTGACCAAGGCCACCGCCCCACCCCCGCTTCGCAGACACACACCTCCAGCTCTGAGGCTCGGGGAGCCCAGGGGCTGCTCGGTTTTTGGTTCAGCTGTGGAGGAGGAGAGGGGACAAACAAGGTGTTACTTGAAAGAGACTGTGTGTCGGAGCCTCTGGTTCCTCACTGTACCTACTGAGGCCCCACGGGGTGCTGTCTGTTGCTTCTGTCTCTCGTCCTGTGGGTTGGTATGTCTGCTCCTACTCTGGGTGTGTGCTTCCTGGGGGGGCCTTAGGAATCAGACTCTGGCGTGTGTGTCTTTATTGGGTTGTGTGCGTGGTTCTCTGGGTCTCACACTGTTATGCGTGTTTGTTAGTTTGTCTGCATACCCGTTGTCTCAAAGAGTCTGTGTGTGACTCTGTCCGTGTTGCGGGTGTTCCTGTCATTGTATGTTTCATGTGTCTCTGTGTCAGCGTCTGTCTGTCTGTCTAAAAGAAAGGCTGCTGGTGTCTGTGTGTGCCTGTCACCGCTGTATGGGGGTCAGCTGGCCCTGGTGTGTGTCTGTCACTTGCAGGAGGGTGTGCAGGGACGGAGCTGGGTTCTCCTTTGGCCTCTGGGTGCCTGTTCCTGCAGGTCTCTCCGTAGGCTCTGGGTCTGTCCATCACTCATGTTCTGAGGACATGGCTCTCTCAGAAACACACTTCACAACTGTGCACTTCGTGCCCCTCATTTCACTGAGTAGAAACTGAGGCCCAGAATGGGAAGGGACTGGACCAAGGTCATTCGGCCAGTCAGGAGCAGGTGGTCTGTAGTGTGTCTTTTCCTTTTTACACATCTGTCTTTCTCGGTCATTGGCTCTCTCACTCATTCATTTATTCAGTCATTCGAAGACCAAAGGCTGTCTGTTTATCCATCCGTGTGTGTGTGAGCTCTTTCCCAGTTTCTGTGTCCATCTTTCTCTTTGTCTCAGTGTCATTTCTCTCCCATCACTCAGTCCCTAACCCTCTTTCTGTGCCTTTATCTCTGTCCCTTGTTTTTTGTTTTTTAAATTTTTTATTTACTGATACTAGAGAGAGTGAGAGACAGACATCCACTCATTTATGCTTCCTTGGTTGATTCTTGTATGTGCCCCAACCAGGGATCGAACCCAGAACCTTGGCGTATTGGGATGACGCTCTAAGCAACTGAGCTACCCTGCCAGGGCTCTGGCCCTTGAATTTTTTTTTTTTAAACTGTTCTCTCATTCTCTGTCTCTCACACATGGTCTGCCTTGCTCTTTTTCATTCTCTGCATGGCTTTGCCTCTGTCTCCCTCTCTGGGTCTCTGGGTCTTCCTTTTCTCTCTAGGGGACTCTAGGGGACTTCCTTAGGGGGCCACCTCCCTGTACTCCTTTGGATCTCTGGCCTCTCTCCTGCTCCTCTGGTCCCCCTCTCCCAGCTCCCTAAGTTTCCGCTCCTACCTGCCACCTCGCACTGGCCGGGCCCTCTATTTCTGTCGCTGTGCCCGCCCTGCCGGCTGCGTGTCACCCCCGCCCCCTGCCGCGCTGGCTCCCTGTCAGCCGTCCCACCAGCCTCGCTGTCCTGGGCAGGCTGGGGAATTCCTCCTGGTTCCTGGAAAAAACAACTGGGGCCGAGAGAAAGGCCCTCAGTCTCCCCGGGCGCCCGCCCCCCTCCCTCGGGCCTGGGGGTCTCTCCCCGAGTCGAGTCGGCCGGCCTGAGGCAGGAAGCCCTGCGGTTTCTGGCTTCTCCCAGGCGGCCTCCGGATCTGGCCCCCGCCCCCCGCCCGGCCAACAGCCCAAATATTATTCCGCAGGAGGAGTCGGTGGCAGCGGGAGGAGGCCCAGGCTGAAAGAGGCTTTCAGGGCGGCCAGGCCTGGGGCTTCCTGTCCCCAGGCTTGGGCCTCAGGCCGCCCCAGTGGGGACCTCAGGTGGCCGGAGGGGCGGGTGTTGTTGTAGGGTCCTGGGGGGAGGGTGGGGCCATCCGTCAGGGTGTCTCGTGGCCACCGGCTCGGCTGGCGTGGGCAGGTGTGACCCCCACCCCAGGGACAGCCGGCTGATGTCCAGCGTGGAAAAGTACCACGGTCAGACGTGGGATGCATGGACAGACATGAGGACGCCAGGGATCAGGGATGGAGGGATAGCCATGGGGACACAGAGGAGCCTGGGCCGGGAGCACCTGGACCTAGACGCAGTCTGTGGGCCTGAGGCAACATGGTCCAAGGAAGGGGCCCACGGGTGGGGAGACGGGCCCAGGGCAGGGTCGCTGCAGCGGGCCGAGGGCCATCTGCCTCGGGAGGCAGGAGATGATAAAGGCGACGAAAACAATAATAGCTGCTGGGGTCACCAGATGCCAGGCACTGTGTGAACACCTGACAAGCCATAAACCGAATCCTCCCCAGCCCCCATTTTATTACAGGTGAAACCGAGGCACAGGCAACATGCAACGAGCGACATGACTTGCCCCCCACCACACAGCCAGTGCTGAGCAGGGAAACCAGGGCTCAAACCCAGCCAGCCTGGCAGAGGGTCAGCTCCCTTGACCGCCGAGCTGTTCTAGAGCCTGAGAAGGGCCACAGCGGCTCAGGGCCCTGGGGCCCCAGCCCCCACCGGCACCCCCGCTCCCGCCACAGCCCGTTGAGGGAGGGGAGCTCTGGAAGCCCGTGGTCCGGGCAGTTTAAGGGTGAAGAGTGTGTATGAGCGTGTCCATGTCAATGCGTCTCTGGGTGCCAGGCATGTATCCTGGTGTCATTGTGTCTGTGGGCTCATAATATGCCAACTGTGAGGTGCCTGGTCACCGCATTAGCGTGTGCTGTTTGTGCCTGTGCATCTCTGCGTCAATGTCTGTCACTGGGTTTCTGTAGATGTTGCAGTTCGGGTCACCGCGTATGCGTGTGTGTTACTGTTTCGTCATTGTCTTCTGTGTGTCTGTCACTGTGTCCTGTCACTGTCGGTATTTTGTTGCTGTGTCTCTGTGCCTAACAACACGTTTGCCTATCACTGTGTCCTGGTGTCCATTACTGTGTGTCTGTCACAGGGTCTGTTACAGTGTGTCTTTGTCACTGGGCTCTGTGTGTCTGTTTGTGTCTCTGACACTTGAGGTCTGCCTATATCTGTCTCTGTGTGTCACCACGTCTGTCCCTCTATGTGTCACCATCTACCCAGGTGTCACCGGGTTACTCACTGCCCAGGCCACAGGTGGGTGTGTCGGGCCCGCTGGTGCCCGAGCTGGGGCCCAGCCCATCCCAGCCTCCGCGGGCCAGGCCGGGCGCCTGTGTGCAAGGCCTGCCCCTGGTAAACACCAAGATCCGGAACCCAAGGGCCACCTCCCTCACCTCCACCCCTGCCCCTCAGCCTGCCCTGGACTGGGCTGGACCAGAGTCCCACAGGCAGTGCCCCCACACTGGACACGTGCCCTGCCCTCCCCCCACCCCCGGCCCCCAGCCGCCCCAAGCCCCAGCCCTGGCCCTGCCCTGTCTGTCTGCTTCTCCCTGTGTGCCTCTCCAGGGGTCGGCTGGCCTCTCTGTTTCTGTCCCTACTTCCTCTCACCTGGCTTTCTCTGTGGCTTTGCCTTTCTCTACAATGACCCTTGTCTTCATTCTGCCACTGACTCTCTCCCTCGAACTTTCCTGTCTTGTCTCAGGGAAGTCTCACTTCTCCGTGTGAGCCAGCCTACTCTCTGCCAGCTCTAACTCTGAGACTCTCTGCCCGTCTCTCTCTCACACTCACTTTTTAAGTTTCTCTCTCTCCTTCTGTCACTGTGTCCCTCTCAGCTCCGACCTCTCCGTGTCAGCCATGATGTGTGTGTGCCTCAGAGCCCCCAGCCCCCACAGGAGCAGACCTCGCCCATGCCCGGGCCCTTAGGGAAGTGTGTGGCCCCCAGCCTCCCACCCCCTGCCCGCTGGCATATGGATATATATAAAGATATATATACGTATTATTTATATCTGCACCCGGGGGCAGGAGGGCAGACACTGGGGCCTTTGTGTAGCCGCTGCCCGCTGCCTGCCCGCCCGCCACTCCTCTCCCTTCGTCCCTGCCGCCCGCCCGCCTCCACTCCCCCCGCACGAAAGGTTCCTGTGGGGCCTGCCAGCTTCCTCTGCCTGAGGTGTGAGTGGGCACGCCACGGGCGAGGCGGGCAGGGGAGCCTGGGGGTTTTTTCCAGCTTCAGGGAAGCTTTCCGGGTGGGGAGGGCTCTGAAAGAAATGGGACTTCTCAGCTGGGCTACTGTCTGTCTGCGTCTGCTGTCCCTGGGTGTCCCCGGGTCCTTACCTGGCTTGTCCCTGGGCGCCTGTCTGTCCCTCTAATGCCATTCTTGTTCTCTCTCAGTTTGGGTCTTACTCACTTGTGCACACACTGTCATTGAGCAGATGTGCTAGGTCCTCTCTTCAGTCCTGGACACGCAGATAAGCGAGATGCTACCTCTTTGCTGACTCTAACTGACTCTGCCATTTCTATCTCATTTGCTCCATCTTTCAGGGCTTGAAACCCTCTACCTGTTCAAAACAAAATCCGAAGTCCTTACTGTGGCCTACAGGGCCCCCCTTGCTCCCTTACTGCCCTTCTAACCTCATAGCTGCACTGGCCACGTGGCTGCTTCAGGAACAAACCAAGCAGGTTCCCACCTCAGGACCTTTGCACGTGCTATTCTCCCCGATTTCTCCTGACTTGCTCCTTCGTCTCCTTCAGTTTTTAGTGTCATCTCCTTGCTGAGCCCTTCCCGACCTCCCTCTTCAAATACCAGCCTCCTTCATTCTCTATCCCCTTTCTCTGACTCTTTTTTCTTCTTCTTA